GTAGAGATGTACCGGAATTCCGTTCCGGCCAGAATTTGTGGCTTTTAGGTCATTCTGGTTCCGGCCGGTATTACACTATTTCAGGCCGGAATGCCGGAATTTATTTTTTACTTTATTTATTAAGGACATGTGACACAGACTGTGTAAACTATATCAAAAAATCATTTTCCTATAGGGCAATAAAGAACTATAGATAAACCTAGCTAAAATACAAATTTCTTAACAAATACAATGTAATTTTAGATAATTTGAGGAGGTTAAAAACTTAATATGGTCATAGTTTATGACCACATAAAGTAACAACTGTGACAAATAGTTGATTTTTAAGTCAAGGAGAAAAGCAATTTTTTTTTGAAAGGGTGTATTTGAAGCAAACTCATTATATTAATAAAATAGCTGTGAAAAATGGAACAATTCACGTTATTACTGCTGATTTATAAGTAGTGAAATTATGTCTATACTTGACAGCCAGTGCATTGTATTTTAAAATAAAACTGATGGTTCATAATTTTACAATATACAATCTTGGCACTAATAAAGTAAAGTGTTATTAGTTTGATGAAACAACAACTGATTTAAAAGCATCAACTAATTGATGAAATAAAATAATTGATGAATCCCCAAAAGATGTCATAATTTTTACTGATGAATGTACATCACAAAATAGAAATGCCATTGTTTCGAATGCACTTCTGCAATTGGCAATCTAAAAAAGAGTAGTCATCACACAAAAATTTATAGAAAAGGGTCATACTCAAATAGAGGTAGATTCAGTTCATTCGGTAATAGACAGAAAGTTAAAGAGAAATACTCTTTAGTTACCAAAAAAGCTACATAAAATATTAAAACTACAGGTGTTTTAGTATTTTATTTTACCAATGGGTAAATTCATGTCAAATCAGCAGAAAAAAATAAAAAATGTCACCCTATGTTTTGGATTTTGCAAATTTTTTATATGTTATAGGGTTTATAAAAATTAAAAAAATCTGAAATTTGGAACATCCAACCCCTTACGGTTCTTGAGATATTCAGGATTCAATTTTCTTATTTACGCTGACTCAGCATTTTTTGCAAAATACTTTTTTGTTGTTAAATAGCAACATTTTATGAACCAAATGAGGTATCATCCTGAAATTTTGTACATAGACAATCTTCCACATGACGGATAGAAATTTCAAATTGAAAATTTTTTTGACCACCATAATTACATGTAAATTAGATAATAAAGGCATATATTTTGGGGTATTTTGACAGTCAAAATGGTTGTCACCTTGATATTTTTTTTTGAGGCATGGTTGTAACTTACAATATAGGTATCAAACATTACTGTTATTAAAAAATATATTACTGCATTTTTCAACTTTTCTAAATGCAGCCTTTTAAGTAAAATATATATGCTGATAAAATTAACTATATTTTAATTTTATGTTGTATAAAGATGATGTTAAAGTCTTTTTGAGGGCAGTAATAAATTTATACTTTATTTTTTTATTTTTTTGTACCTGGGAAGGGCTCATGGTCTAAAGGGGAGGGGTACATTTTACCAACTCCCTTTCCCCCCCCCCCTTTTTTTTTTTTTTTTGTTAAAAACATAAAGAGAAGTGACTAGGAGAATTTTGTAGCTAAATTGTGCCAATTAAACATACTCATATAAAGTTGTATTTTAACTAAATTTGAAAAATAACATACAAATATAAAAAATAAAAATATAATTTTTCTATAAATCTTTATTATTTTTTACAATAATTTTTTTTAACTTAGTTTCTGACATTTTATATCTGACCATTTGTTGCAGATGGCGGATCAACCGTACATAAAATATGACTTGATGGGACCCAATACATATCTTTCCATGCAGACCAAAAAAAACGGGATGGGACCATGTGGATGCATAAATTGAATTTTATAATCTCCTTCTCCTTCATCTTTTTTTGTTATAATTCCAATCCACCAAAAATTGTCATAACTGCAAGCTACATAATCCATGATTATAAATAACCTGCTGCACAACCAGCTCATTTGGCATCTGCACAAGGTTTAATGTCTGAAAATCAGTTTGTCGACTCATCCTTTTAAAAGAAATTGTGCATTTATTAATTGGTATAAAATGATGGAAACATCTTGTTCCTGGCAAGGTTCTTGCCATAGTAAACTTTAATTGTAATGATGATCAAACTTCATTTTATTCTGTTTTATAAACCAAAATGAATTGAATATTTTATTCTGTTTTATAAACCAAAATGAATTTAATAAAAACCATTCAGCATCAATACCAAAGTCTTCTTTGTTATGGCAAAGATTAATAAAGTTTTGAAAGTTTTTATATTGTGCTGCACATCCATCAGGGAAGTATTTAATATTACTAATTTGTAGAATGTTTGCTTTAATGTAATTAAAAATGAGCTGATGTATTTTATATACTTGATGTTCAACGTCATCAGAAAAAAAGCAAAATGACTTAGATACCAGTTTACCATTTGATTTATAGTATATAATAATAGGATGAAGTGTATCTTTTGGTTTATTCCAGTGGTAACTTTGCACCTCACCTCTGCAAAATCACCCCATATTATGCACTCATTGTGATGAGTGTATAATATGGGGTTTGAAAAAACAAAAGTATTTACAGTCTTTAAGATACTTGGCCCAACTTTTAGCTATAAATGGATGAGATGTAAAAACTACTGCATAATTTCCACCCAGGTACATCATGAATATCTTGTGTTTTAAGAGTTATTGCTATTAATAGCCATATCTTTACATTTCCTATAAAAAAAAAGGAACAATCATTTCTAAAAACTAATATCAACTAAGCATCATTGTAAAGAACATATTACAAATTTGGAATATATAAAAATATTTGAAATATTTTTTTCTAAAAAAAGCATTTAGTCATTTATTTCTTTATTTAATTTAATTACTATTGAAAAAATTATAATCATCAAAACAATATCAAAATTACCTTTCACATTTTTCTTTACATTTCCATATTTTTTAAATAGATTACAGCATTTCTGAAATTTCTTTTCAAGTGCAACTCTTAAGTGTTCTCTATGATAATAGTAAACTGTTGTAAACAATTTTCCACAATCAAATTAACTAGTTCTCCATAATAACTTGTTGTATGTAGAGCTGGTTTATTTAATTGTGTAATGTTAATAGATCTAAAAGACCTTGTCTTTTTGTTAAACCTTGCTTGTGACAGTCAACATTACATTCTAATCCAATAGAACACTTTTACATATTTTCCAACTTTTAATTTTATTCAAAAAACCAAGTTTTGAAATATTTTACAAAATAAATATTTTTTAGAAATACCATTAACATTATTTAGTTTATGGTAAATTAATTATACATTTTATTATAATATACATATAACTGGATGTGCCATATTATACGAATTCCTCTTACACATGATAAAAGGGTAATTAATTTTTATTTTATTTACAGATCATATATTAATCATTTAACATTTATTAATTAATTAAGTAAATTTAAAAACTCTGCAGAGTAAAAGGAAACTAATATTTATAACATGAAACCAGAAGCAACACTATAATAATGAAGAAATAAAATGTTTTATTTATAAATGAAAAAAAAAAGTCTTTTATAAATATAGCCTTTTAAAAAAATGTCTTTTATAAATGCATTTGGATTACAGTCTAGCGAAGTTTCTATACTTAAAAAAATGTTGGTCTTTTACAACAAAATTAACTTCAATAAATAAAAATAATATTTCTAGTTATTGCTCCATAAGACCTCCAAAAAGCTTGAAAGAAAAATTTTTAACAAAACAAAATTTTAAATTTTGATTTAAATTAGAAATATATATTTTATTTTTTTGAGGGAGTAGGGGAAGAAAAATCTGATTCCCCCCCCCCCCCCTCTCTTTATACTTTGAACCTACCCTAGGCACCAAAAAAATATAAATAAATTATAAACTTATTATTGCCCTCAAAAATACTTTAACAATACCTTTTTACAACATAAAATTAAGATATAATTGATTTTATCATAAATAAGTTTGCAATAAATTTTATGCTGACTCAGCATATATATATAAGCTTTACTTGAAAAGCTGCATTTAGAAAAGTTGAAAAATGCAGTAATATATTTTTTATTAATAGTTATGTTTGATACCTACATTTTAAGTTATAACCATGCATCAAAAAAAATTATCAAGGTGACATAACCATTTTGACTGTCAAAATACCCCAAAATATATGCCTTTATCTAATTTACATGTAATTATGGTGGTCAATTTGAAATTTGTATCCGTCATGTGGAAGATTGTCTATAAAAATTGAATCCTGAATATTTCAAGAACTGTAAGGGGTTGGATGTTCCAAATTTCAGATTTTCTTAATTTTTATAAATCCTATAATATATTAAAAAAAATTAGCAAAATCTAAAACATTGAGTGACATGAGCCTGCTGATTTGACATGGAATTACCCCAATACTTACTTAATAAAGTAATGTTGAACACTACTACTTATCTTATTTAATGTATTAATTAATTGTATTTTTTTTATCAGGGATTGGTACGATATGTATATTTTTAAAATTGTTTTTAGCAGCTAAATAGTTACTTATTAGTTACACATCTGATATAAAAAATTTTGATAGAAACGAAAGATTTATAAGAATCATTGGCAATTCTTGGTAGAAAAATATTATTAACATATTTAAAAAAATAATATTAACGATTTTTTAAAGTGTTAAATAATCAAATATATTTAAAAATCATAAATTAAATCCACAATGTGAATTTATGAGAATAAAAGTTCTGCTTTGTTTTAAAAGATATATATAAAAAAATTCAATTCAGCATCAATAGAAAAAAAATGTAATGTTTAATAAGAAACTATTTGTTTGAAAAACTGTTACAAAATTTGTTTGTCCAATATTGTATCTACTAACTGCTGTATCTGAATGGGCCTATTTTTATATGACCTATAGAACCTATTTGAATATCAACTTTTTTTAAAATTATCTTAGGTTTACCAATTAAATCATTGCCAAACAGTTTGTATGTTAGCATCCCAAAAAATTGTTGAAAAGTGATTTCTGTGATCGAGTCATTTATTTCTGATACCAACTTTTTTTAATTTTACAAATAATAATAGAGGTAATGTTGTTTATATTCTTCCTTTTTTTGTTTTTGTTTTAATTGTTTGTTGTTATTATTCCAGATTGTTAATAACATAAATGAGTCTGATGTGTTAATTTCCAATAATTAAAAACGATATTTTAGAACACATGGATCAAATTCTTGATTCGGTCCATATGTTTTAAAATTCTCGACGAACCATTTAGATTAGTTACTACATTGAATGAAATTTAAGATGTTTATTATATTGCCTTAACCATTCGATGAATTATTAGGTTTATTAAAGTTAATGCAGGAGTAACAAATCATAAAGAATTTAAATCATTGTTGTAAAGACTGCCAAATAGTAAATGGCAATGTTTTTGTTAAGTTAAATGTTACTATGCATTGTTTTGACAAAAGTTTATTAGTTTTGTAAAAATACAGTAATTCAAATCAAAACAAAATAGAGAATGCTTGCATGTTTTGTCTTGATTGGAATTCAAATATCAAAAGCTTTTAATAAATATTGCTTACCCATAAATATTGAACACCCAGTTTCTTCCATAGCCCATGCATTTGAAATTGTATTTTGTAATTGAGGGGGACATGTATAAGAAAAATTCTGACACTAAAATATTTTATTTTATTTATAATGAAATTATTTAAATGAAATTTTGTTTCACAAGAAATATTACATTTTGGCGGATCTGTACTCGGCGCACCCAAAATTCGGTGAAATTCGTAAACGAACTCGGTAAAGTTCGAAACAATTTTTTTGCCGTTTAATGATTGGCTAATATTAACGAATGAATATTTAGCACAAAAGTTTTAATTCGCGCTTCAAAAGCCACCTTTAAAATAAGTAAGATGACACCTTTAACTGAGTTCATTGAAAGTATCAAAGAAGAAAAATTGGTCGATTTTTTGCAACAAAAAAGGCTAATGCCACTTCAAAAACTTTGTCTATGTGGTCAAAGGATGCTTGTGCAAAACTAGTAACGTTGTCAAGTATGAATACTTAACATTTTTATTATTATTTACACAAAACAGATTATCCCTTGTATCTTTAAAATACTTTATTTAAGGAAAAACATATTTGGTGATGTAACACTTGCAAAAAGACGAAGTCAATTCGAGCAGGATTTTTTGAAAGCTCTACATCTTTAAATGTAAGTCTGATACTTCAATTAATGTTTTTATGGATCCTGGAGGTTCCTGTAACCGCTGCATCTGAGGTAGTAAGTGTAAACGAAAAAACCTTAATTCAGTGGAGCAACAACAAATCATGTTGAGTCGTTTTGGTGTCGGATGAAACGAAGGTTAAAGTATGTTTTTGAATCACAGGGTGATTTAAAGTTGAAGCTGTATACAAAGAATATTATGATTTTTATAATAAAAATGTTTGGAAAAATTTCTCTTTATTCTTAAAACATATTAATCATAGGTATCCTCTGTAATGTAAAATAAGTATTATAATGTAATATTTACATTATAATACTTATTTTAGAAACTTTGCTAGACTGTTACATATTTAACTTTTTTGTTCAAACCCAGCGGACATTTGATTTTAAAAGTTACGTTCTTCCGTAAAGAACGTTTAAAACATATTTAGAACATTTAAAAGAAGCATAGCCCAGGTGTTTCTAGATTTTAACATCAACTATAAAAGCTTACAACGCTATTTGTCAAAAGCCTCTACAGAAGATCTTGAAGAAAAATCAACAATACCTAGGGGCGGATCCAGGGTGTCGCGAATGATGCGCATGCATCAGTCTTTTTGCACCGCTAAATTTAAGTGTATTTCTTTTTCAATTTTTTTTCTTAATCGATTTGATCTCTATAGTTACTTATTCGTTACTTAGGCAAAATTCCTGCGTTTTGAAGCAGCTGATGCAATTGTTCTTCACAAAATACAAATGTGATTGATTTAAAAAAAAAAAGTACGTTTTAACCAATAATATTTGTACTTATTCACAAATTTTTCCGATCACTTTGTAGCAACTGATGCAATTGTATTCTAAATCAATAAAGGCCGTTTTCCACAAGACGAAAAATTCGCGCGAAGCAAATTTTTTCGTCGTTAAGCATGCGCAGATTAAACATTTTTGATTATACTGATTTTTTTTCGCTACAGCGATAAATATAAATAAGCGAAAACCAATAAAGTTTTGAATATTATATCACATGATGTCAACATTAAAAAAAAGCGGAAACATGTTGTTTTTAAAGTAACAAAAAACAAAATTCTTAACCTGGCGTTCGTTCTTGCAGTAACAGTTTTTAATAGAAATGTTCATATCAAAGTTTAGCATTTATTTTCTTATACTTTCTTGTAAAAAAAACCTTTTATTAAATGATTATATTACAAAATAATATCACATCTTACATATAAAGGCAGAAATGTTAATATTAATGCACGGAAAGAAATTTTCACATGCTTCAAAGTAGAAAGTATGCTAAAAAAGTATTAACTGCCTTTAGTTAAACATACAGCGTAAACTTATTGCTGCCATTTTTATTGTTGACAACGAAAAAAAAGTAGCGCGAAAGAAAGTAAGTGGAAATCAAAACAGCGTTTCGTTATAGCGAAAAAATTCGCTTCGCGCGAATATTTTGTCTTGTGGAAAACGGCCTTAAGTGGAAATTAAAACAGCGTTTCGTCGTAGGGAAAAAATTCGCTTCGCGCGAATTTTTCGTCTTGTGGAAAACGGCCTTAATGCTGGGTTAAAAAAACAGTTTAAATTATAAACAAATTAAATTATTTTGTCCTAATTCTATTTTTGTTTTTCCAATATCTTTTAATACAAAAAGATCATTTAAATTTGAATGGCTCAGCCAGTTTTCTTGGTTAGCTTATTCTAGCAAAGAAGATGGAGCTTACTGTCTTCCTTGTACTTTGCTAGATGCTAGTATTCCAAATAAGTCTGAAATATTAAATTTAGTTTCCAACCCCCATCAAGAGTGGGGTAATGCTGTTCGTGATTATAGAAAACATGAGGAAAGTTGTGTTTTACATGAAAAACCTATGCTTTGATTTAATGCATTGCTTTCACGTTGCAACTCCAAAAGTAATGTTATTGAGGTTGATTTAAATAATTCTTGTTTGAAACTTCTTTCTGATAACCAAAAAAAATTAGTTCCAATAATTAAAACAATAATATTTCTTGGTAGAAACGTCTAGCATTTCGTGGACATCGTGATGATAGCAAATATCATCCTGATATTGGGGAATCTTCTACACTAAAAGTTGGAGTTGGTAACTTCATAGAGCTTTTAAATTTTCGTGTTGATGCTGGTGATCAAATATTGGCTAATCATCTTTCTTCAAGTCCAAAAAATGCAACCTATATATCAAAAACTACCCAAAACCAACTTATTGATTCTTGTGGGAAAGCAATTAAGAATTTAATAAAAAATGTCAAGCATTCAATTTTTTTTCAATTCTTTGTGATGAAGCAGTTGGCCGTTCTAATACCGAACAAATGTCACTTGTTTTAAGATATGTAAATTCAAGTAATGAGATTTGCGAGGATTTCTTAAGATTTATTGATTGCAAGACTGGTACATCTGGTCTTAGTCTATCTATAAATGTACTTAATGCACTTCAAGAGTTTGGACTTGATATTCAATATTATAGAGGCCAAGGGTATGACGGTGCGGGTTGTATGGCAGGTGAATATAAAGGAGTTGCTTCTTGAATAAAAGCTCTTAACCATAAAGCTATATTTGTTCATTGTGCAAGCCATAGACTTAGTTTAGTAGTAGCAGCTGCATGCCAAGTTCAAAAAGTAAAAAACCTTCTTGGCCAAGTAAAAGAAATTTCTTATTTCTTTAACTTATCTCCTAAACGTAGTAACTGTCTCAAAAAATATTTAAGTCCAAATCAAGAAAAAATAATAGATACTTGTCGAACAAGATGGGTTCAAAAGCTGAGAGGTCTTGATGTTTTTTTTTAAAAATTTATACCTGTTATTCATGCTTTAGAGGAGATTTGGGTTAAATGAGTCAAAGGAATATAACAGTGAAACTGGTTCCAAATCCTTCATTTTATATTATTAACAGATTTCTCTTTTATTGTAAGTTTATTTATTACAAAACAATTAATTTTTTTTATGCAATTACTGTAACTCTTCAAACTAAATCTTTTGACATATCCCAGCAGTGTTTTGAAATAACTAATCTAAAAAATGTGTTATTAGAAATCAAAAATAAAATTGATATATATCACACTGAATGGTACACTATTGCTCTTAGTTTGGCCAAAACTCTTGATATACAAGAAGTGAGACCTATGTGTAATGTCCAGGTTTACCGGGATAATTATCCAACAAATACAGTTTGTGACTATTTTAAACATAGCATTACTTCTCCATTAATTGAACATCTTATTAATGAGCTAGATAATTGGTCTCCAGAAAATGGCATGTTTGTTTATAAAGGTCTAGCAGCAGTTCCTTCAACTGTACTGTCCAGAATACAAGTTAAAAAACCATGGAAATCTGATTTTTATGAATTTTTAAATTTTTATTCATCTGATATGCCTCATTTTACTTCAATACATGCTGAGTTAAATTTATGGGAATTATTTTGGAAAAACCAGTCAAGTATTCCTTCAACTGTTGCTGGTATTTTAAAGTCCATTGACATGAGAGGTTTTCTAAATATAAGGACAGCATTAATAATTTTAGGAACAATTCCAATAACAACTTGTGAATGTGAAAGAAGTATTTCAGTTATACTTAGGCTAGAAACACACTCCAGAAGAAATATGATTGAGTCTCGCTTTAACTCTTTAGCATTAATGTCCATACATCAAGAAATTTTTCCAGAGGTTGAAAGAGTCATTGACATTTTTTCAAAGTCAGGTGAAAGACTTTAATTTTTTTTTATTTGTACTAACTTTTATTTTATTTTTTTCTTATTTCTAATTTGATTTTTACTAATATTGTGTGTGTGTGCGTGTGCGCGCGTGTGTGTGTGTGTGTGTGTGTGTGTGTGTGTGTGTGTATATATATATATATATATAAAATATAGAACTTCAATAAAAAATTTAACAAAAATTATTATAACAAAAAACAGTTTAAAGTTAAAAAAAAAAAAGAATCTAGATATGGAGGGCTAACCTTCGGCAAGATTAATAATATAATATAATATAATATAAGATTAATAATATAATATAAAATAAAATAAAGATAAAATCCAGAAATGGAGGACTAACGTTTATTATTATATTTCTAGCTACTTGACCTAATATTACTTAACATTAATAAATAACCTAATATTACTTTACATGGCGTGCCTATCAAGAAAAGGAAAAAATCCAGAAATGGAAGGCTAACCTTGGGAAAAATGACAGTATACAGATGAAGTGCAAAGTCCTATGGCTTACCTTCTCGTTGGTGCACTTTGTTAAGTAAATTAGGCTTAAAGTTACATGTCTAATTTATGAACAAAATAGCCAAGGCAACATTTGTAAAAATTTCTGCTAAAAATGGATACTGCGAAAGCAATACAAAATTTAGTTATTATTCAATGATATAAACAGCAGCGCCACTCTTAAAAAAAGCTGCCTGAGGCGTGTCCGCCCCACCCTCGCTACGTCTTTTAATGTTTCTCCACTTTTTATATTGACTATACTTAAACCCTAGAAAGGTTGCGGGGGGAGGGGTGTCGATAAAAAAATTTCGCATTATTCATTTAAAATGCTAGATCCGCCCCTGATACCTTACCAATTTCATACTGACTACGTAGAACTTAGGTTTGTAGATTGTTAATATGTTTAAGGATTATATTATTTTTTATAAGTGACTCCATAAAATATGTATTTATACTGGCATATATTTCATATTATTTCAAACAAATGTTGACACAAGAGCTTCATCTTAAACTCTATAGCTACTTGCAAAGAGCTTCAGGTATTTACTTTTTTTTTTTTAGCCTTACACCAAAATATATTAGGAAACTACTAGCATATCAATTAGCAGATGTTAATAAATTGGTTATCAAAATCAACTGTTGATTGGTTACCACAATCAAATGTTGATGGACAATCATTGTACTCGGAGAGATTGGCTTGTGTTTTTCCTACAAAAAAAATCCAACATTGTCTTTAAGTGCTCCAGACGCCACATGCGTTGCACGTGCCATAAGTTTTAACAAACACAATGTTGAAATATTTTTCAATAATCTTCAGCTGTGTCTTCAACGTCCCCAATTCACATCAGCAGATATTTGGAACATGAACAAAACAGGGGTAACTACTGTTCAAAAGCCTGATAAAGTGAACTCAAGAAAGGGCCAAAAGCAAGTTAGGCCAATAACCTCAGCAGAAAGAGGTGTTTTAGTTACCTTAGCATGTGCTGCCTCTGCTATTGGTAAAAGTATTCCATCTTTTTTCGTATTTCCGAGAGT